TGGGACAGATGCTGGTTTACAGCCTGAGTATCCTATTTAAGAAAGCAATTCCAATGCATATTTCCGTTGACAAACTGAGATTTCAGCACTAGTCCTTGCAACTTCCAGGCCCAAAAAATATTTAAGAGGTCCCAAATCTCTCATTTTGAATCGCTTATTAAGAACTTGTTTAAGTTCAGTCACGGCTGCATCATTGTTGCTAGCAATTATTATGTCGTCCACATAGACCAAAAGAGCCAAGAAAATGGAACCTTGTCTCTTGATGAACAAGGAATGATCATTAGCTGACTGAATGAAACCTGTTTCTAGGAAAACAGTTGAGAACTTACTAAACCATTGACGAGAGGCTTGTCGCAGCCCATATATTGGCTTATGCAACTTACAAACAACATTAGGAGGAAAATTCTCCCCCTTTCGGTAAGAATATCTTGGCAGAATACTCATATATACTTCCTCAGTGAGGTCACCATGGAGAAATGCGTTTGTAACATCAAGTTGAGTGAGAGTCCATTTAAAAATGGCAGCCAAAGAAAGTAAAAGTTTGACTATAACGAGTTTAGCTACAGGGGAGAAGGTGTCCAGAAAATCTATACCTTCTTGTTGCGTGTAACCTTTAGCTACGAGACGCGCTTTGTATCGTTCCACAATACCATCCTCTTGAAACTTTATTTTGTACACCCATTTGCAACCAACGGGTTGCTTTCCTGGTGGAAGGGAAACAAGTGACCAAGTACCATTGCCTTCCAAAGCCTACAATTCAACATTCATTGCATCTTGCCATTCCTGAAACTGAACAGCCTGTGAAAAGGTTTGAGGTTCGGTTTGTGTACTAATGGCTAGGGAGAAGATGCGATGAGATTGTGAGAGTTTATGGTAACTTAAAAAGGAAGAGATGGGATGGAAGGAAGTTGAGGGAGATGAACCAGGAAAATTAGGAAGTGCGTTGGTGGCCAAATGGCAGTGGTAGTCCTTGAGATATGCTGGTCGTTTTGTTGTGCGAAGTGGACGAGAAATGGGCTCTAAAGCTTGGTTTTGATCAACATCATGAGCGAGAGTATTGGTAGGAGGCTCGGATGATGGGGAAATAACCTGAGGAGGAAGTTGATGTTGAGACTCAATGGGACATGGTATGACACGGGCAACGAATAAGTCAAGATGAAAACTATCTAGCTGTGATTGAACAAAAGGAAATATAGACTCATGAAAAACTACATTCCTTGTGATATATATCTTATGACTTTCTAAATTAAGTAGTTTGTACCCTTATTAACCAAAAGGATAGCCAATATAAACAGAGGCTCGAGCTCGAGGAGCAAATTTTGTGCGTTGGCTAAGGAGAGTTGATCCATAACACAGACACCCAAAAGAACGGAGATGAGAATATGTTGGTTTCTTGTTATTTAACAACTTAAAAGGGCTTTTGTTTGATAAGGTGAGGGCGTCCTATTAATCAAATAGACAGCAATTAAAACACACTCATCCCAATAGCAAAGTGGAATATGCGACTGGAAAAGGAGTGCTTGTGCCACATTAAGTATATGTTGGTGCTTTCTCTCAACTACGGAATTCTGCTCATGAGTTTCAACACAAGAATGATAAGGGAGAATCCCTTTAGAACGGAAAAAGTCATCAAATGAGAGCTCAGGTGCATTGTCAGATCGAACAGATTTAATGGTAGTGTTAAATTGCGTTAAAATAAAACTGTAAAATTATAGAAAAATGGTTATAACATTTGATTTTGAAACCAAAAGATAGACCCATGTGGCTCTAGTACAATCATCAACAATAGTGAGGAAGTATTTATGACCAGCTCGTGTATTAACATGAAAAGGACCTCATATATTAATATGCACTAGATCAAAAGGTCGTGAAGACATATGATTGTTTGAAATGAATGGAAGTCGTTTATGCTTAGCCAAATGACAAATTCGACAATGTGAAGATAATGTAGACAAGAGATTAGAAATTTTTAATTCATTATGGAGCAACCGAAGTTTTATAGCAGAGAGATGTCTCAATCTATAATGCCAAATATCACTTTTGCTCGTTACAGAGGCTGAAGAAAACGAATTATAATAAATAACTCCTAAATCTAGAAAATATAGATTTCTTTATCTTCTACCCCTCCTAATCATCAAGCCCTGAGTGAGGTTCTGGATACCACACGAATTGGAAAGAAAATTAACACTACAGTTATGGCTGAGTGTGAGTGCACTGACACTGAGTAGATTAAAGGCAAACAATGGAACAAAGAGCACATCATGTAATATCAAGGATTTGGACAATTTCACAGAGCCTATGCACTCGATTCTTACGGCGTGACTGTTGGACAACGTGACAGTGGTATTTTGGATAGGAATTGAATGAGAAAACACAGAAAAATCACAGCAAACATGATGGCTTGCACCAGTATCTATAACCCATGTGCCAGACGGAATGGAAAGAGATGAAAGGGAAGAAATGGAAAGAGAGTTACCATAGATTTGAGAAACAGAGGGATTAGAGACCGAAGGATCTTTAGCTGTTTGTGTGTCAGGAGTGGCGATCACACGATGATGAAGTTGCAAACTCAGGTAGGCAATCAGTTGCTGGAATTGATTGGTGCTCAGCAGACCATTCGGTAGAGGCGAGCTCATCGCCGTTGTAGCTGAAGGTGAGATCTGAGGTCGGTCATGAAAAACCCTATGTTGAGATGAGCTGGATTGAAGAGAGCCCATTGAAGGTGATTGGGTCGTTTGTGTAAAATGGGCCTTGAACTTGTGCTTGAATCCAGGAGGATACCCATGTAATCTGTAGCATTTATCCACGGTATGTCCAGCCAGCCCACAATGCGTACAAACAGGTCGATCTCTTCTGGGTTTGCTTGCTGAAGACGCAACCACCCCAGGGAGGGCCGACGGCGAAGCAGCAGCGAGGGGACCCGGTGATGAGGCCTTAAATGCCAAGGGATTGGCCGGACCAGTAGATCCAGTACCGATTGTACGTTGTCTCTCCTCCTGAACAATAAGATTGAAAACTTTCGAAATGGAAGGCAGAGGATCGTTCGGCAAAATCTATCCTCTGATTGTTCCATAAGACTCATTCAAACCCATTAGAAATTGCATGACATATTCTTGTTGGTTATAGTCAAGCCAACCTTTCATACCTCCACAGCGGCAGACCGGAATAGGCTGGTAATGCTTGAGTTCATCCCACAGAATCTTCAAGCGTGTATAGTAGGTATTGATGTTTAGAGAGGCTTGACACAACCCTTGTAGTTGCTGCTTAATTTGAAAAATACGTGGCGTGTTGCTTTGATGAAATCTCTCATGTAAATCTGTCCAAACAGCTTGAGCAGTGTCCAAATACAGAAGACTATCTGCAATCTCCTTCGAAACAGAGTTGAGTAGCCATGAAATCACCATACTGTTGCAATAGGACTAGATCCCAGCAAGAGGTGCTTCAACCGATGGTTTCAGAATAGATCCATCAACGAAACCGAGCTTGTGTTTGGCATTGAGGGCCATGAACATGGCTCTGCTCCAAGTGTTGTAATTAGGACCAGTGAGAGGATGAGATACCAAGATGAGACCAGGATGATCTCCACTATGGAGAAAATATGGACTGTTCGCTCCGTCCATAAAGGTCGGATCCTGCTGATCCACGGTGCTAGATGAGGAAGGTAGAGTCAAAGCCTGGAAACGATTGGCGTTGTTTTGTTGACCTCCACAAGCCATACTCAGAGACTAAATAGAGCAGGGAGAGCAAATCGCTCTGATACCATTTTACGAAATAATGTTGAGGAAGAAGAGAGAAATCATTCTCATTCATTCACTGAATAATACTCGAGAGTACAACGTACATATAGAGCAGAGTTAGATTCCTTTCCTAACAGAATTCTCTGCTTACACAAATCGATGTAACCAAATTGTACACCTCAGCAAAAAAAACGTATTCTAGAACAATCTATTTGTTATAACAGAACGAAGGAAAAACAAATAAAATAAACTGGAAAATAAAGATGTGCTGGAAAATATTGTAAAATACCAAAATGATTTTATCACATTTTAGTTTATGCAAACTTCTAGCCTTCCACCTTAAAAAAAAAAAAAAAGGTTTACGTGGACTTCACCTCCTAAACACAATAGAAAAAAGCTTCATCGCTCGCAAATGAGTAAGTCAAAAGTCTTCTTGAGTCCATTTCCTTTGTCGTCATCTTCTTGGGTTCATTTGCCCTAGTTGCGGCCGTGTGTGCTTCGGACGTGCTCTTCAGAGATCAACCATGGTTACCGATCATGTCCAAAACTTCGTCACGCGCGAAGTGACGTTGCTGTATGTATGTATGTATGTGTGTGTACATATAATTAAATATAGTTTTGCGAGCGAAAGATAACTACAATGCTTTTTTTTTTTCTTTCTTTTCTTTTCTATACGTTGTTTTCATCATAATCCAAATTAATCTAATTTTGAGTGACAGAGCATGCCTTTGTATAAGATTGATGCCGGCTTAAATGCTAATTAGTTTGATTGATTCTGTCTACAACTCAACGTTATAACAATTATTACGTAGGACCTAGGATGTGTGTATGGAGTTATACCAAACAAATTAAGAAAAGAAAAAAGAAAATATTGTGTATTTCGACTTCTGAGGTATATTTCACGTTGAATTCCATTTGACTTTTTAACATTCCAGAATATACTATACACAAAATTGGGTGTGCGTGGAATGAATATTCTTCCATGGCCATTCATTTCACCGATTCGAGTTTAAAATTTGAGTTTTGGTATAAGTAAAAACTCTCAGAAATAATTATATTTAACTTTTTTACTACTGTAAAAAATTTTCACATAAAGTAGAATCATCAACGCATCAAGAAGTCACTTTTTACGTCTCTCTGCTTGGAATTTTAATTAGTCCTATATTTGTGGCCTCTGGGCTTTTTTTATTGTTCTACTATAAGAAGCGTTTCAGACTAGTGTAGGGATTAAACAATCTTTATTCGAAACATTCTGAAATTCTCATGGATTTCCGCATTCTCTTCCTTCTTCTGCCTTTGTTATTTCAAGCTCCTTTTTCTTCATCTACAAATACCCTATTACCAGGCTCATCCCTATCTGTTAAAAGTGCAACAAGCGATGTTCTGGTTTCGCCAAACGGCGTTTTCTCGGCAGGCTTTAAAGCCGTCGGAGAAAACGCTTTCTGCTTTGCTATATGGTTTGCAATATCCTCTGATCCTACCATAGTTTGGATGGCGAACCGAGACCAACCAGTCAACGGAAGAGGTTCAAAGCTTTCGCTGACTAAAAATGGCAACCTCGTACTTCTCGACGCAGGAAGAGTTACCCTTTGGAGCACAGGAACGAGAAATATTTCCGCCGTGAAACTGCAGCTCGAAGACACCGGAAACCTCGTCCTCCGTACCTCAGAAGGGGGTCAAAGTTTCACCCTCTGGGAAAGCTTTAAATCTCCCACGGATACACTTCTTCCTCAACAAAAGCTAACCATGGATACTGATGTTGTCTCGTCAAAAAGCCAGACCAACTATTCCTCTGGCTATTACAAACTCTATTGGGACGATGACAACGTCCTCCACCTGCTTTGTCATGGTCCGGATCGGCAATTATCAAGTGTGTACTGGCCTTATCCTTGGCTAAAGTATTTTGAAAATGGGAGATCAACTTACAACAACAGCAAAACTGCGGTCCTAAACTCGTTCGGAGTCTTCTCATCATCAGACGATCTCTTTGTCTTGGCCTCCGATTACGGTGAGAAACTTCACCGAAGATTAACCCTGGACCCGGACGGAAATCTTCGCCTATACAGTTTTGACATGAAGAAAAGTACGTGGGTTGTTACCTGGCAAGCCTTCCCCAAACCATGCGATATTCATGGTACATGTGGGCCAAATAGTTTTTGCACTTACCACCACAGTTTCGGTCAGAGATGCTCTTGCATACACGGATTTAAGATGGCTAATCATAGAGATTGGTTCTACGGTTGTGAACCGGAGGTAAAATGGAACAATAGTCGGGAGATTGACGGCTTTTTTCGCGTTGCCAATGCCGAGTTCTATGGCTACGACAGAGGCTTCTTTCAGAATCAGACGTTAAAGGGTTGTGAAGAAGTTTGCTTAAATTTGACAGAATGCAAAGGCTTCCAATTCAAGTTTGAAGACTCTGTTTATAAGTGTTATCCCAAGACTCAACTGCTCAACGGACAGCGCGCATCAAATTTCAATGGAGACGTCTACATAAGAGTTCCTAAAGCTAATCTTTCGTTTTATGAGAAGCCCGGCAAAGAAATAGAATTGGATTGCCCTTCTAAATCGGTGATATTAACGACAGCGTATAAAAAGCCCCACGAAAATGCGACCTTAATGGTTTTGGTTTGGGTTTCCGTTGGGCTTGCTGGGATGGAGTTTGTTTGTGTCGCGGTAGTGTTATGTTTCTTGTATTTGACAAGAAATGGAAAGGACGAAAAGGCCCAAGGGTACATGCTTGCTGCAACTAGATTTCAGGAATTCACATACGCCGATCTGCGCAAAGCGACTCGGGGATTCTGCGAAGAAATTGGAAACGGAGGGGGAGGTACTGTTTTCAAAGGCATGTTGTCGGATGGTCGAGTTGCGGCGATCAAGCGGATGAGAGAAGCCCATCAAGGCGAAGCTGAGTTTTTAGCAGAATTAAGCATCATAGGAAGACTAAACCACATGAACTTGATTGAGATGTGGGGATATTGTGCTGAGGGAAAGCACAGGCTTTTGGTGTACGAGTACATGGAACATGGATCTTTAGCTGACAACCTTAGTGCCGATCATGCACTTGATTGGGAAAAGAGGTTTGCCATTGCAATGGGCTCGTCAAAAGGCTTAGCTTATTTGCATGACGAATGCTTGGAGTGGGTTTTGCACTGCGACGTGAAGCCTGATAACATACTCTTAGACTCGGATTACCAAGCCAAAGTGGCTGATTTTGGGCTGTCCAAGATACAGAACAGAGGCGAGGCTCATAATTCAAGCTTCTCGAGGATTCGAGGGACGAGGGGTTACATGGCGCCTGAGTGGGTTTATAATCTTCCTATCACCTCTAAAGTGGATGTTTATAGCTATGGAATTGTGGTGTTGGAGTTGGTGACTGGAAGGAAACCGACAGGCGTACAAATCGTGATCGGCGGCGGCGGAGGGACGGCTGAGCACGGGAGGTTGGTGACATGGGTTAGGGAGAAGGTGAATGGAGCTTCTACCACGGAAGCTTGGATTGAAGAAATTGCAGATCCCATACTGGAAGGGAATTTTGACAGGAACGAGATGGAAGTTCTGGTTAAAGTGGCTTTGCAATGTGTGGAGGAAGACAAGGAAGCTAGGCCCACCATAAGGCAAGTTGTCGAGATGCTGCAGTGCCATGAAGACGTACGTGCTATCACTGACGTCTTAATAAAACCTAGTTAATGCTTTCCTTTAAATGTTGTATACATTTATTGCAAGTTCAATGTTAAGTAGGCTGGGACCATCTGTCGACCTTGTAAAATATTTGTCCATTTTTCATTTGTCATAATAAGTTGGTCGATTAAAAATAAACATACTATCACCCGGCATTGTTGTGTATATCGATATGTACGAAACAAATTTATTTAATAAGGTCAAATAATAAATATCACTTTTTCCTTTTATAAATAAGATATGAACGTCACATTATCTAGATTTTTAGAAAAAATGAGTAATGGGGTATACCATTTTCTTTTGCAATACATTTCAATTCGTATTTCTGTACAATATGTGAATTCCAATCTCGATCGCTTGCTTAGTCGCCCCAACTTCTAATAACAAATATTGCGGGGCAGCTCAAGTAATGGGGGATTACTGGCCTTTTAATGACAAGTCAATTTGTTTCCTTTTTTATTATTTCCTTTCCCCTCTCATCTCCTAGACTCCCAGTCCATTTGCATGAAAAAAAAATAAATGCTGTTAATTGAAAGGGATATGGCTACCTAATTTCCCTAGATAAAAAAACACATCCGTAAATTTTATTCATTGTTCAACCATAATAGAGTATGTTGCAAGGTGTTCAAGTAGAAAGTTGGAAAAATTCCCAGAAATATAAGCAGTTTGAAAACTAATATTAATTAAGAGCAATGCAGAAACTTTCCTTCGCAATCGCCAGAGGTATTTAGCTCAAAAAGAAGTGGAGCATGTGAGGTATGGCCTGTCCATTACCAGTTTTAGCCTTGCGATCAAAATTCTATATTGACTTGTGTTTCGTTTTAACTCTTTCGCCATCCAATATAAAAAACTAGAATTAAATCCTCTTTATTTGAGAGTGAAATAGATAAGGTACCGTTTGATTATGAGACTTGAACTCATTATTTTGATTTAACTTTCTTATAAAAAATTTGAATAAAAAAAGATCATATTAATGAGTTTTCTCACAAAATTTAAATTTAAAATCAAAATCACTAACTTCAATAAACGGGTCATAAGCCTTCAATATCAAATAAATATGACACATTGTATAATATCACTTTGAAACATAGAAGTTAAAGAAACGGGAGAATGGGAGTAGACATCAGCCGACAGGCTAGGCCTGTAGCCTGTAATAGATCCATGATCCATCGATCCTTTCGTACTACTTGCGCATCCAAATGTGCAATACACTTTATTGTTGGATTAATTTGACATTTTAGGTCCAAATGCTTAATGTCCAACACAAATCATGAGTCTGCAGACTATGGTTTTTCATATTAATTATTATGAATTGGAAAAGAAACAGTTTATTTGGAAAATTACTGGAAAAAAGAGAAGAAAAGAAAAGAATAATCGATAACTTTTAGAAAGCTTAAAAGAGAATTTGGAAAGAATTTCTTTAGAAAAGAATAATCGATAACTTTTAGAAAGCTTAAAAGAGAATTTGGAAAGAATTTCTTAGGCACGTGTTGCTGTGCGGTTATATTAAAAAAAAAAATTATGACAAATTTATTCACAAAATATCGAATATTTTATTAAATTAAGCATAATATTTTTTATTAGATTATGTAAAATGCTTATTTTCTTTATTTCACCTTAATTTTAATTGTCAGAAGTGTTATATCTTATGTTACGTCTAGTGTTTCAAATGATGTTAGAACATTGTCTAGAACACGACTTAACTAATTAAGATCCGGTTTAATTACATTCAGTTACTCGAGCAGAATAAAGTACAGAAAGTAAAATAACACACATTATGATATTACAGTTCGGTGCGCACACCTACATTTGCGGGGTCATGCACAGATAATAAACAGTTCACTATATTCCAAAAATTAAAAACACCGGATTGACTTATTCATTGAAGGACCCACTCCTAGACAATGACACCGCTGTGACGAATCTCCACAATGATTGTTTATCGTGCACCACACGTCTTCTATTCACCTGGCGAACTCCCTTCGACTGGCAGAGCTTCCTCACGAAAGCAACAAATCCCTCTCCCGAAGGACGATTTTAATAACTCACAAGGCTCACAAAAACTCACATACGTCTCTCTGAATATTTTTTTTAATAATAAGCTTTAAAATTCACAAACTTTTCCTTTGGAAATGTTCTATTAAATCCGTACACTATAAATGAGCATCCTAGAGCCGTTTATATAGAATTTATACTCCACGACAACCTTAAAAAACTTCATGAATATCCAATAATTATCTTCTCTTTAACCAATTGCTCTATCTATATATTTTCATCAATTATCCCATGTTCAACTTTTAAATAAAACTAATTCATTGTTTGATGTACTACATATTTATCCAAGATATAAACCCAAGTATTGCTTTGTACAACAAGTAGACAAAATTACACCAAATAGATTTTCCAAATCTATTTCAAAATTTCAATTCCTTCCATCCCCACTTTTGCGACACTAACTTTATTCTTTAAATATAATTCAAACTCCAAGTCTTCAACTATAAATCGGATTATGCTCCATTTATCCAAATCCGAACAAGTCTCACATCTGCAGGTCAATCAAATTTAAATGCCCAACAATATATATCTAAGACTTTCAAATACTCTAAGTTATTACTTTATCTCCTCTCCTCTCCTCATAAATAGCAATCGGATTATGCTACTAGAAATTAAATCTGAATATGCCTTTGAATTTAAATATGAATCTGCCTTGGGTTGCAAGCAAATATCTTCTTGTAGGCTATCTCCCATTCAAAATTAAAATCACCCTTTTTAATCCTTATCTCCAGATATCACAACTCAACATAATCTGTAACTTTAACTTCAAATTTAATTCGAAATCTTCTTCTATAATCTGAATTCTTCTTGAACCTATTTTTTAAAATTTTACAATATTACTAATGAATGGCCAACTAATAAAAATACCTAATGAGAAGTTCTAATTATTTTTGAGTAAGGGTTCGGCTTGTTTAGTTGAAAAGTTGAAAAAATAATTAGAGCCATATTTTAGAAAAATAATGGGACACTTTACATAAACACCACAAGTTTTAGAATTGGATTGACATATGCCAACAAACATAAACTATTGTAGAGAATGTCACACCTAAAGATACTTAAAACTCGTAAAATCCATAAAAATCACGAAACTCTCACAAAATTTAAAGATACCGAATGAAATACACAAAAATATAAGTATAATTTTACTCAGTATACAAAACTTAAATGACATCACTGTGGTATATTTTGTAATAATTTTAGTACCTATGACAAAAGTCAATTCAACCTTAAAAATCATGAAATATTGCCTAAATATCTCATAATAATGCTTAGAGAGTTGTACATAAAAAATTAATGAGAAACATTTAAAAATACCTAAGAAATTAAAAAAATTCCAAAAAAGGGACCTAGCAACTAAGTAAGCATTTTGTAAACCTTCAAAGTTGAAGTAAAAGAGATTTCACGATTTGATTAAAAGACAAAAATAGTAAATATATATTCTCGTTCATTTCACCGATTCAAGTTTTCAGTTTTAGGTTTCTACAGTAAAAAATTCTCAGAAAATGTCACATCTAACTTTTTCTGCTATAGTAAAAAGCTCTAAAAATGTCACATCTCAATTTGAATTGAAAACTCGAATCCGCGAAGTGAACGAGGCTGTAAATTTAAAAGTTCTGCTGCCGAGCGGCTGAGAGCTTGGAAGTCTTTAGTCTTGACTTTGTAAAGCAACAGGACAAGTCTCGCTAGAACTGTCTAGCCAACGAGGCACAATATGGGTACGTTTAGTTCATGGATTTAAAATTATGATTCAGAATTATTTTCAATTTACGTGTATTTTTTGTGAGAGAAAATATTATATCGAATTACGAACTATGATCCGAACTATGACACAGATTCTTACTCCAAACACACTTTGGTTCATTTCATTGGTGCCGTACTCAAGAGCTTTGACATAACCTTCTCAAATTTCTATATACGTAAATTATTATATGTCATGAACTTTCACAATTAAAACCAAAAATACCCCACCATCAGCTAATGCAAGAATATCCTTGGTGAATAAATAAATAAATAAAAACTAAGAATATCCTTGTAAATCTGTTACCAGAAACAGTTTCTACTCAGGTTTATTTTCACTCAGCATACATGTAGAACGGAGATTCTTAGTTACACTACTTTCTTTGTTCTAATTTCTTACTTCTTCGTGAACATGGTAATTTTTCTCCCTTTTAAATCACGTGCAATTTCTGTTTTCTTTTTGGCTATAGATTGCACTTTATTATGTTCGCATTAAACAGCTTTACTGTAATTAAGCGTTATAGAACCGGACCAAGGTCTACAAAAGCCATTAGACATCTTTCATTGAGAAAAAAAAAAAAAAAAGCCATCAGACATCAAGGCCTTGTAGTTTGGTAAGAAAGTTTAATTAATTATCTGACCTCTTTGGTCCGAAAAGTGACCGGACAAACATGCGTATAAAGTGGGGAAGTTAAAAAAAATAGTGTGAATTGATGACGTTGAGTTTTTTGTTTGTATTATTATTATTATTTTTTTTAATCTCTCGCTTCTTTGTTTTTTTGTTTGAAGACGTAAAGAGTTGTTTTCGAGGAACCTGCATAATTGACTAAAAAAATAGAGATTCTTATCATGTCATTGTAATTAAATTTTTATATTTAATAAATAATTATTATAAAGACATAATTATCAAAAATTATCCATATATTATTAATAATCTCCTTACATTTTTGGATCATGTACGTTCTACATGACAATTTTTGTCAATGAAATAACAAAGAATAAATTTGGCTCCGCATTATTCTAAGGCTCTACATTATTTACAAAATTATAGCATTTTTTTCACTTTTTTTTTTTTTTTTGGGGTTTGAAGCAATGGTACCAACGCTTGTAAAAATCTAATAGAAGAATTTAAATAAAAATATCAACAGCCCTTTTATTTTTATTTTCAGTTGGAAAATATTTCGCTATGTTCTCTTTAAGATACAAATTGAAAGTTTCTTTGATAAGTCTGATCTATCGATAATGTCAGTTTTTAACCGTTAAATTTAGTTAAAATCACATCAGATTAAAAAAATATGTAGAATAGACATTTTTTAATTTATAAAAATGAAGAACTATTGATATTTTTTTTTTTATTATTCTATCAGAGAAGCTCCATTAGAAATTTATTTCCACATTATTATCTATTGATGATGAGTACCATTAATTACTTTAAATTCCTTTTTATTAATGTGCAATCAATGTAAAAACATGCTTAGCAGGCACTATAAGAAACATGGTTATTAGCGATGATAAAAAGTCGTTGCAAAAAATGCAAAGTCATTGTAAATACATTTTTTACGACCACTTGTTGTCGCAAACCTGTCGCTACAATTGTTTCGTCGCAAAAATAATTTTTGCGATGACAATCAGTCGTCACAATTATTTTTACGACGACAATCGTCGCAAATAAGTTGCTGCAATTATTTCATCGGTTACATCGTTAAGATGACATGACATTGAGTATTTGTGATGATAATTTATGAATTAAGTCGTCACAAAAGATGCAAAATTAGCCGATGTGGCTTATATTTTTTGTGACCACATTTGTAGTTGCAAATAATATTTTAATTTTTTATTTATTTTTTCTCATTTTAATAATTAATGTTGTATATTACTATATATTTAAACCCAATATTAAATATAATTAATAAATAATAAAAATAGAAATAAAAATTTTTATTATAAAAAAGTAATTAATAAAATAAAATAAAAATGTAATTATAGTAGAAATATACGGGAATAAAAATTGTTACATTAATAAAAATCTAATCTCCTAAATTAACAACATCACTAGCATCACATTTGTTGCAAGTATTTTTCTACGTGTGGGTCCGAATGTGTCGTAGAAGATCTTGTCGAGCATGAGCTAGATGATGACGTATCCCCTCGATTAACCTTTTGTGGGAGTGTGCGACCCACTCCAGTCTTGTGTCCTCTGCGAGTGCCCGAAAACTGCTCCATAATATCATGCTCGTTAACTGCTCTTGCCGTGGATGATCCAGAAGTAGTAGACTGCGTCTGGATCTGCATTTCTCTTTCTCCCTCCATCTGATGCTACAAATATTATTAGAAAAATAATTAAATACATAATGCGATTTAAATAAAAAAATATAATTAAACATTACGAGTATACTTATGACGTCATCGAGGTGCGGCATCAGGTGCTGTAGAATGAAATATATTTAGTGATCATATAATACTAATGTAATATGTCTTTAACATTCTATTAACTATTTTATAATATTTATTTTTAATTTTTTAATTAATAATATAATACTAATTAAAATTTCCATCTAAATTTTTTTATCATCATATATATAATTCATTATTTTTAATTTCTTAATATTTCCATAAGTCGCCTATTTTTTAATCATCATGAAACAAATTTCATACAAATTTCAATCTAATTACCACAAATTTCAATTTCAATTCTAATTTATAATTCACAAACTAAATTCAAAATCCAAAACAAAACCACAAACCACAACCAAAATACAAAAATCAATTTATAAAGAAACCACCTTTTTTAGGAAATTTAAATTCTCAGTTATTTGCAACGACATTATTAAACAAGTCGTTGCAAAAAATGGTCGTCCTTGGTAGAATTTTCTGGAACCCTTTTTTGTGACGACATGTGTCGTCGCAAAAATAGTCGATCTGAAAAAAATTTTCTGGAACTATTTTTTACAATGACTTTTCAATATGTGGTCGCAAAAAATAAAGAAATATCTGGAACCTCTTTTTGGACACGTCACCGCCACTTGTAACAATCAGTATTTGCGACGACATGTCGTCACAAATAATGGACAAACTTGCGCCAAAATCGTTGGCGCCAGATTGGTTTTGGCGCAACCGATATTAGCGACGATATCTCATCACGAATAATATGTCAAATGTTAGCGACGATATGTCCTCGCTAATACTGAAATTTGTGCAACGACATGTCGTCGCAAATAGTGAATGCAATGACAAGTTGTTCAAAAATTTTGTTTTCTTTTTAGCGACGATATATCGTCGCTAATACTTTGATATTAGCAATAATAAATGTTGTCGTTAATAACCATTTTTGTTGTAGTGAGGCAGGTGGTCTTCATGCTTACCAACCTTAGGTGCACATCAATTAATGTTAAGAAGACGGAAATGGAAAGAAAGAAAACGGAAAACAAAATAAACCCAAAACATCAAGAATCGTTATTTGTCCCAAAAAAAAAAAAAAAAAAAAAAAAAAAAAAAA